TAGACAGAGTCCTCATTAAACAAAGTCCATATAGACAGAGTCCTCATTAAACAAAGTCCATATAGACAGAGAGTAATTATTAAATAAAATCCATATAGACAGAGTTCTCATTAAATAAACTCTATATAGAGAGAGTCCTCATTAAATAATCTCCCATACAGAGAGTCATCATTAATACACAAAGTTCCTATAGACAGAGTTCTCATTAAACAAAGGCCATATAGACAGAAGTCCTCATTGAACATAGTACCATATAGAGAGAGTTCTCATTAAACAAAATCCACATAGACAGAGTTCTCATTAAACAAAATCCACATAGACAGAGTTCCCATTAACCAAAATCCACAAAGACAGAGTTCTCATTAACCAAAATCCACAAAGACAGAGTTCTCATTAACCAAAATCCACAAAGACAGAGTTCCCATTAACCAAAATCCACATAGACAGAGTTCTCATTAACCACAATCCACATAGACAGAGTTCTCATTAACCAAAATCCACAAAGACTGAGTTCTCATTAACCAAAATCCACATACACAGAGTTCTCATTAACCAAAATCCACATAGACAGTGTTCTCATTAACCAAAGTCCATATAGACAGAGTTCTCATTAACCAAAATCCATATAGACAGAGTTCTCATTAACCAAAGTCCATATAGACAGAGTTCTCATTAAAGAAAGTCCATATAGACATAGTTCTTATTAAAGAAAGTCCATATAGACAGAGTTCTCATTAAACAAAGTCCATATAGACAGATTTCTCATTAAACAAAGTCCATATAGACAGAGTTCTCATTAAGGAAAGTCCACATAGACAGAGTTCTCATTAACCAAAGTCCATATAGACAGAGTTCTCATTAAATAAAGTCCATATAGACATAGTTCTTATTAAAGAAAGTCCATATAGACAGAGTTCTCATTAAACAAAGTCCATATAGACAGATTTCTCATTAAACAAAGTCCATATAGACAGGGTTCTCATTAAAGAAAGTCCATATAGACAGAGTACTCATAAAACAAAGTCCATATAGACAAAGTTCTCATTAAACAAAATCCACATAGACAGAGTTCTCATTAAATAAATTCCACATAGACAGAGTTCTCATTAAATAAAGTCCATACAGACACAGTCTTCTCAGGACACATTCCACAATAGACGCAGAACACATCAGAAACACACGAGACAAACGATTTCAACCAGACACCACACAGACATTGCACAAGGTCCATTAGTCCCACGTCAGACGTTAACCCAACATTGTTAGAGGTATTTTCCGATTAGGGAAATGTCATTGTAAGCTTTGTTACGGCACCAGATTGTACCAGTGACCATCTCGATGACCCTTGATAGGCTTGATCGTCTGTGAGTGGACATAAACTGACCGATAGCTGACTTGAAGGAAGATGCCCGTGGGAGAGGATCTGTCACGATAAACATCTGTGTTCGAGGTCAACCATACACAGGTACCTGTCGGACACTGGTGGGGCACTTGTTGGACATGTCTGAAGCAGTAACATAAACAACGCATTGTACACATCTTAAACATTGGTTACAACATGGCGGTATTCTGGGATGATTACGCGAGTTTTAGGACCACATACCTTCAAACAAACCAGTTGGACTGGCTCTTTTAACAACTAAAACTCTGCAACAACAACGTCATCATCTACATCAACATCAAAAACAAAAGCAAACCACAACTACTGTTTGTACATATAATAATTCATCCGCTGCTATTACTTTCACTACTACTACTACTGCTACTACTGCTGCTACTACTACTACTACTACTACTACTACTACTACTACTACTACTACTACTACTACTACTACTACTACTACTAGTACTTGACACATGTCATTGTATCCCAATTGCGTAGATAGGTGCTCATGCTGTTGATCCCTGGATTTTCTGGTCCAGACTCGATTAATTAAAGACCGCCGCCATATCGGTGGAATATATTGCTGAGTGCGGCGTAAAAGTCGCCTCACCTAATCTCCCTCACTCACTCACCTCACTCACTCACTCACTCACTCACTCACTCACTCACTCACTCACTCACTCACTCACTCACTCACTCACTCACTCACTCAATCACCCACCCACCACCCACCCACTCACTCACTCACTTACTCACTACAACAACAAGAACAACAACTACTACTACTACTACTACTATTTTTACTACTACTACTACGGCCATCACTACTACTACTACAACAACAACTACTACTACTACTACTATTACTACTACTACTGCCAACACTACTACTACAACAACAACAACTACTACTCTTACTACTATTACCACCACTACTATTACTACTACTACATTCATCACTACTACGACTACAACAACGACAACTACTACTTTTACTACTACTACCACTACTACTGCTGCCATCACTACCACCAACACCAACACCAACACCAACACCAACAACAGCATTTCGCGCTAGGTCGTGAACGGAACACTTTAAAACATCAACCGTTTTGTTGAACGTGATGACTGTACAGCAATGCAGAAATTCTGTAAACTCTTGTTCACAACTTGTTCGATCAAGGTTACAACATTTAATGCCTCAGTAAAGCTTTAAAACACATTCGGGACAGACATGTCTCACTTGTAACAAAATAATGTCCGATGCAACTCCGCCTGTTGACTCCCGATTTTCCCCAACCTATCAGTTGACTAGCCTTTGCATGTGTTTATGACGGATGCCACCGTTGGGGCAGGATACGCCCATCTATTGTCAAACACCTGGTGTCATCACTGTTTTGATAGTGATCCATAGACACGTCCACATGATAAAGTCGGAATTGTACTATCGATTCTCTTTTAACATAGACTTCTTATCGAAGTGTTATCTCATTTCTTTGAGCTTTACTTGATCGGGGACCACGGCCTATCTGCAAGCAGGACCCTCTAGGACTGGGAATGGCTTGTGTTTACCTGGAGAAGTATATTTAGGCCCAAACCGGTTCTTGTAATCAGTAAACAACAGCAGGAGGCACACACTCCTTCATGTGAAAGTAAACAAACCCCTCACGCATACATACCCAAAGCTAATAGTGACGCCACGGAATGCTGCCTAATGTGAAATATAAACTACCACATTTGTGTTTTACGATGATCGAACGTGTTTGTCGACATTACAGATTATACATCTCACTTGAACTGTGATACACGATGTTGGTATGTACATGTGTCTCTCATAAATCGCTGTGCAATTGGTCGTAGACGTATTTGTTATATATACATTGTATGCAATTTTTATGTTTTATATACCTTACGAGAGAGACGTAAATAAAACCTCCTTCTTTTTCTTCTTCTAGACGAGGAGTGTTAGCGGCCTGTATACGGCTTGCTGACACTGAGACGAGATAACGACCACTGCACAATAAACACTAGCATTAGTTGAGTATTGGTCACTGGTAAGGTTCGGCGCGGTGACTCGTTAGATACCAAAATATGTAGATGGATTACATACAGCTACCGCGTAGATAGCGAGACACTGCTTATCATGCACACGTCAGGCACAGATAAGTCCTGGCTTGGGACGGGGAGGGGAGAGCGTTCCATACCCCCCTCGGCAAATGCGCAGTTTGGCCTCACCTAAAGTCAATCCTTCAAAGAACATTCCCGAGACGATTAGATGTCCTGAATCATAATTGCCATTGTCGAATTAAAAAATAATAACGTGGTTTGGTTAAATTTGAATAACGCGATGTCTGTAGTCACGCCCAACGTCAAATTACATAAACGCGACCTCGTAGTCAACGTTCCATGACAGCGGTGGCAGTTAAAGGAAAACAGTTCGGGCATACGAAACAGCTAGTTTTTAGGGGCGAATACAAGTCTCATGCCCGTGAAGATCCGGGTTAGAATAGTGGCCTTCAGTAAACCATGCTTGTCGTAAGAGGCGACTAACGGGATCGGGTAGTCAGGTTTGCTGACTTGGTTGACACATGTCATCGGTTCCGAATTGCGCAGACCGATGCTCATGATGTTGATCACTGGATTGTCTGGTCCAGACTCGATTTGTTACAAACCGCCTCCATATGGAATATTGCTGAGTGCGGTGTAAAACTAGAATCACTCATTTACTCATTTCTCATGGAAATCACCTGGTAAACACCCATTTAGAGGCTGACTTCAAATATAAACACACAGGTACGACTAAGCGGGAAAAACGTGAATCTACAATCATATCACAGCTGAGGGATGCAACACTGAACAAGTTAATTGAGGGCATTGGTCGAGAAGTCAAGTATATACATACTGCCTGACTGGCCTTGTATGACTCAAGCAACAGCAAAGGCATTATGTTTTTATTTCATGGATGGCAGCTTCTTTTTTCTGTATTAGTGCGACGCTTCGCTTCAGATGACAGCAGGGTCACGTTATACCGTCCCGACACAATAGGGTAACACAGTACCTACAGAAACACCTCCCTTGTACAGGCTGTACCGTACTGTTATCTGTAATCAGCATACAATACAAGTGTCTCTGGGAAACGCCTATCGCTGAAAGCTTGCAAAATGATTCAGATTGTGTTGAACAAAATTAGAACAAGATTAATCACTTTTGCGACACAACTCTCAATTGATAGATAATGATTTGTCTCTACTAAATTGTCTTCTTTTCACTGGATGTAATTAATTAAACTCGTCACAAGAAAAGATGACGTCAGCTACTCACAGGTAGAATATATATGATAAATAACGTATGTATGATGTATATTTAATATAAGTAATGTTTAACCTGAAATGGCTACTTCACAATGACTCAGAAAGACGCAGTTGAGATGACCCATAACAAACGAGCAAACCTATCTTCGTGACAGATTAGGACGATCACAACATGCGCGTGGAAAGGATATCCGTAAACTCAGTATAATTGCGTAAACCTATAGTGGTGTTATGACGTACACGGCCGCGCCTTCTCTGATTGTTTCTCTGCTGTACACATGTTCTTCTAGTAACAGATAAATCACCCAACGAACAGTCATCCGATCTTATCCACACATGTCCCTTTCCCTTGGACGAAACTCCCCGTATGTCTAAAGTCAATGACATTCAAGTAAATCACTCGAGTGTGAATGCATCAGTAGGGGACCGACTCAGGGAAAAGAACAACCACCACATCACGTGACTGCTTGCGTAACTGACCCGTCAAACTACCCGTTCCGCAGCGTCTATTTATAACCAGTATAAATACCCCAATCAGAATCCTGGGTACAACTTTTCGATTTCCAACCAACTCACGTCACTCTGGTTGTAGAATCTGTGAGCGTAGCCCACCCGTATTGTCTTCCTCGGATTTATTCAAGCAACGTTTGTTTTACGGAATCTCGGAAGGTGGATGTGCCAGTTCTACAGTTTTCTCTTACTTTTATAACCGGAATATTACAGAAAGCAAAAATCTATTTAGATACATTGTATTTAAAGACTGACACTAGTTAGGGTCCTTGTCATCAGGGAAAGGTGTGTCTCAGCGAAGACAGGTGAAGAGGAGAGGCGACCGTTACAAGTCCAGAGCTGACAGCAGTGACATACTCGTCAACGAGACAAAATATGACTGCTTGGAGATCCCGCTTCCACGACAAGGTAAGTCACTAGAGACAGTCTGCTGTCCCCAGCTGACCATGTGGACCTACTATTACCGCCGGTACCGGGCACCCTTGGCCTATGTTAACGAAGAACCAGTAAGTACCGGTGATGTTCACTAGACGAGTATTACCGTTATGTTAAGTTTACCAACACGACAGGGCGTCTCTATGTTCCGTTCTGCTGAGTTAAACTTATTTTCCTGCGGTTATTCATACATTTCCTTTCACAATATTTGTTTGAAAGGAACCGTTTAGTTTTTCTGTGAATTTCGGATTGCATTTTATCTTGTACCATTGATAAATCTGATATGTATTTTACAAATCTGATACCCTGCCAAGGTATATTTAATACTATACTGACTCTGGTTGAATATACGTTTTTGCGCCTATAGAAATTGTCATGGAATAGTTGTTCTACCTATATTAACCTTTATTTTTATGTCAGCATCATGTTTGTATCACGCTTGGTATGCGTTGTTCCACTGTGGCATGTCGTACACTCTGTTAGTTAATGACACAGTTTCACACGATATATGATGTGAAATGTATTATGTTTAGTTGCCTTTTGCGTGGTGAATGAAGAAACCAGATATTCTTCTCAGAACAAACTGTCTCTCATTCATCACAGAATGCTATTTTAATCACGTTGCCAGTGTTGTGAATGACATGACGTGTGTACCTCATGTAAAACATCACCCCCTCGAGGCGTGGCTCTCTAGACAGCCGCTCACCCCCTCCAGGCATCAACCTGAACTTGTTCCATGTTCAATGTATTATGTCATAATCCCCACATTCCATACTTGTAGACCAGTTTTCTTAGCAGAGCAGATTCTGTAAACACACAATGGCGTTTAATTTGGTATTGAAACATTGACTGCTGTCGGCTAAACGATAAGACGGGAACAAAGTAACGGCTTGGATTTAATAGACTTCAATAGCACAGAAACCTCATGAATGTGTTTGTCGTTGTACATCAAATATTGCACGGCCTTGCTGTATGTTGCCGTTACAGTTTCTACCACGGCTCGGCTATATTAATCCCCAGACATGTACACAGATGACGCTTTAAAGTCTCATACACAGGCGTTTCTCGTAACGAGAACAATTTATTATACCTGTGACGTGTGTGATATCAGTGGGTTCATTTCGATGAATACCCGATTGATAAAAGGCTCATATCTTAGGGAAAGTTTAGGATGACTAAAACTTGTTGCTATATATTTGATACCTGATAGTGCCATTTCAATCAAAAGCTAGATCGATCATGACCCCAGCACATTCAAACATGTATAATTTGACAGTGCGCTATTCAAATATGTGATATATGTTTTTAATTAATAAATGTACGTTTCTGTTCTCACCATACGGATATGAACCAGGAGCATGACTATGATATTAAACTGGAGATGGCGAGCGCAGGACAATCTGACTTGACACGACATAATCAAACACAGATATTGAGTTCGTTCATGTCACTATTGACAAATATTCAGAGACCGATCAATCTCCTGCTTTGTGGCAAACGCAGACTCAAGTTTATTAGCTCTACCCCTAGGCGGACAATGCGTCAAAGTGGAGCGTTATGTAATGCGCGAGATCTATGTTATTGATACGTGATTCTGTATTTGTTGTAACTGGATATTACACACAGATCCTGGTGCTGTATGTCTCGGCCCGAGGGTGAGCTAGTGCTGTTGGTATCAGCCGGTTTAGGGGTCAGGTCATAGAGGTGACCTATTCTGCCATTTACACTAGTTTTTAATGATATTTTACGGGATGGTGTCAGATGTGTGCAGAGACGTTCATTGTGGCTTATTCATGGCATCTCTCTTTAAAATGGACCTAAATTTAAGCATTCCCATGCGGACAGACAACAATTAAGCTGGTTTAACCCATTATCAGTTTGGATTCGGTTTGTGTTAGTTCTGAATATCTGCATTCGGTTTTAATTGTCGGTATCTCTACAGTGTTCGGGCGTGCGGGGACTCGCACCGCTAGGTGTTAGACCTATTCTAGTCTAGCTATGTTGTTGTGTGATGTGGGGCGGGGCTAGCACGGCGGCAAGTGGACGTGTCTCTCAGTTTTATCCTCTGATTGGTGAGGATGACTCTGGAATCCGTGTCCCTCCCCTAAAGGTGTTGCTGAGGACTGCGAAATATATGAGATATGCAGATTAGTGATATGCAGACATATACGTGTCTGGGAAAGCGTTAAAGGAATGTGGTATTGGTTGTGTGCAAACGAAGGTATACACTCAGTGTTGGAGGTGAACAAACGAACGATATACTCATGGTTGGTTGTGGCAAACGAAGGTATACACTCATGGTTTGTTGCAGTCTATATTTGTCTTGCTTCATATATTGAGACGCGGCGAGTCTCTTTCTCATGCAGCCTACACTGGTTACACTTACATTATATTTACACCGAGCATATCAGATTGAGAAGGGCGTTTAGTGCCACGTGTGTGAGTTTATTGTATGTGTTTATTGCACGTGTTTATGGATGTCAAAACTAGTTCACCTCTCGAATCCAGGAAGGACCAATGAGAAGTTGGTTGGGTGGTTGGTTTGTTGCTTAACACCGCACTCAGCAATATTCCAGCTATATGGAGGCGGTTTCCAAATAATCGAGTCTGGGACCAAACAATCCAGTGATCAACAGCATGAGCATCGATCTGCGCAATTGGGAACCGATGACATGTGTCAACCACGTCAGCGAGCCTGACCACCCGATCCCATTAGTCGCTTCTTACGACAAGCATGGGTTGCTGAAGACCAATTCTAACCCGGATCGTCACGGGTCCAATCAGAAGTAAGTGTATAATCGCTATGCATATATATTCAGATTTGTATCCATGTAAGAACAACATCACACCAAGCGCTCTGCTTGAATGAACCACCACCGTGGCCCAGTGGATACAACGTCTGCAGTGAGCAGGGATGCTGGGCTGTTCGAATTTACCATGACACATTAAATCCTGGTACTTGTTGCCCTGCCTGCCAGCACTCGGAGTGGGTGAGAGGATAAAACAGTTTATTACTTGCCCGTGGAAGATATACTGCAGTGCAATATATTTACGGCAATATTTCGCTTTCGCTCGTTTGATACCAAATCATTAACTCGTTTAATTAAATTGGCATCACGCGGAAGGTCGTTTAGTATTCGCTATCTGAATACTGTATCCGACTGGGGTATCCCTGATGAAATGTAATATAGTATCTCAGTGCCCAATCATATTAGTTCTAGAATCAGACAAATGCAAACACCCACATACCCCTACATTCATACACGTGCAACAATCCTGGACCCCTGTTGAAACCATATTTCGTCTCATACACTCTCCCTGAATTACAGAGAAAATGTATCACATGGCCCCGTGTACACTACCTTCAACAAACAGCTTCTCGTGTCGCCCGTCGGAATATCGCTTCAACAAATCCGTGGTTAAACCGAGGATTTACAAAGCCAAGACCCGAGACATTTCAAATGGGATTTTGACAGTGAAAAGCGCTTTTATCTTTTTATGAGAAGTTTACATTCTATATACATTCAGTGAAGTGGACATCGCCAGGGGCAGCTTTGTTTCTCACAAAGCATCCCTGAGGCCATTCCACCTACATATTGCGTACCCATAGATAATTAGTTTGCTTCTTTGAGTTATTTCAGTCATGTGTGTGAATATTTTACAACTTCAAGATATGTTTTCAATCATCTTTAGCTGCGGGTACCGGATGAGATGCTACTTGCAATCTCGCAGATGAAAACTGACTTACATAGTTATACATTCATAAAAAGAATACCTGTCGAACAGTGTGATCTGTTGTCAAATTTTCCGTTCTAAACACCTCCTTTGCATATTGTATAGACAGATATCTTTATTGTAAAATGTCTGGATAAACATCTTATGTGTATATTGTATAGGCAAAGACATTCTTTGTATACTCTCCCAAAAAAGAAACGCATCGTGAAAATAACAATTTCATGTAGCAATGAATTAAAACGTGATTCATTTTACAAAAGTCCTATGGTGTTTATGTTTTGAAGCATCACAACAAAACGCACCATCCGTAAAATACCCGTATTTAACAGCATGATTTTCAATTTCGGCGTGTAGTGTCACAGAATGTACAATTCACATGCAATGCACGTGAAAGTTGGGGATCAGATAGTCTCAATGATGGGTATAAAAGGTTGATCACCTGCCGTAGGAGAAGTGATTTGGCAAGCTGACAGCTCAACGGTACTGTGACGAAATCCTATGCCCACACCTCCTTCCAATCATTGATCGCCAGAGGGAGTTGTTTCAACAGAACAATGTCAGGCCCCACATAGCACGTCACACTAGAGACTTCCCCCAGAAAAACAACATCAATATGCTCCCCTGGCCCTCAAGATCACCGGACTTAAACCCGGTCGAACATCTGTGGGATGCCCTGGACAGACAGGTGCGACGCCGTAGCCCTCAGCCCCAGACACCTCAGCAACTCGCACAGGCACGACAGGCAGAGTGGGCTGCGATTGGGCAACACGAGATTCTGAGACTTATTCGTTCGATGCCGAGGCGATGCCGTGCAGTTCTGGATGCCCACGGTGGTCACACGGGGTATTGACTTTAGCGCCACCACACGTCTCTATGTGACACTCAAACTGATTTTCCTCAAGTTGGTGCCAAAGACGGATAAAGCCTACAAGATGTTTCAAACTAAACATAAACATACAGTTGAAATTCCTATATGCGTTTCTTTTTTGGAGAGTATATATTGTCCGGATAAACATTTTCTGTGTATATTGTATAACATCTGATCGTTCCAGAAAAGTTCACGTTCTTCATCACTGTTTTCATCGTATTTTTATTGTATTCCTGTTTCAAATATACCCCGTTTCAAGTTTCTGCACCAATGCCCAGATTGAAGGGAGTTAAAATGTGCAATAAATACACTCAGCAAATTTTAACGGCGTCGTTGATGGCAGAGATAGTACCTTAAAGGGTCACGGACT